TGGTTATTTTTAGTTAATATCGAATACGCACGCAGCGAAATTGGAAACAAAATTGGACGTAGTTTAACAAAACGGATCCAATGCACATCCAGTCACTTTCGAGATGTGGCAGTTTGAAATTGAAAAGTGTTTTTCACTATTGTTTTATTTTCAAAATTCATAATTTCATGTAACTCCAGAGATATTTATTTATGTTTATATGTTGGATTTTTTTGCTGATTAGATTTTAGGAACCGTTTGGTACATACATTGACTTACAATTATATGGACGTCGGGTCCGCGCTAAAAAGTGTCCGCACTTTTAAGGCGCTAAAATCGTATACAGAGCGCGACACTCCGCTTTAGTCTTCATTTGTTCTACTGACAGCGCGATACTGCGATGACATTACAATTTAAATTTCGAATAGGTTGACTTGGGACATTTTTTTCGTGGTTTTTGTATTAGACCCGTCGTCCATTTATTTGTAAGTCAATGGGTACATATAACTCATTTTTTGATAATTTTGTGGATTGAATCCTTTTTTGTTTAACTACGTCCAATTCTCAGTCAACTTTAGTTGAAAATTTAAATAACTATAAGCAAAGATAAGAATTCAATTAAAAAGTGTATTTATGTGCTGACTTTACGATAGGTTATGTTGTACGTCTTCTTAAATTATAAGATGCAAATTTCTTATTTACGCACTTTTTGTTAATGAAATGGTACATTCTTCTCATATTAGCACCCTTTATGGAAGAATGGCACAAGTGGAGTTACGTCAAAAACGTTTATTGTTCCTTTAAATACACATCCTCAACCATTCTTGCACCTCTATCTACTAATATTGTAAATAGAGTAGATAGACAACCACATATTACACTTAAACTCACTATAGAATTAAATTTAGGCCATACAAATATTTCTCCCGGCCCGGGAATCGAATCCAGGACCTCTGCGTGGCAATACCCGTTCGATCACGGACCCAGTTAAAATAATCATTTTATATTTTATGTAGACTTAAATTAATATGCATATAATCTCGTGAGTGTACCTTGTTGCTGTTACCTACTAAGCTTCCACTAGTTCTGTCGTAAATATTCACCGAGTGGGCCGCCATGATGTTCATGCCCTCCAAGCTTCTGTTTAGTAGTAATGTGAGTAGTACATAAAAGGTAGAAAGAAAACATAGTATATTATATTAAATAGGTATATATTAAATTTAATTGCACCTAATAACATCGAAATTATTCATTTTCTAACCACTTAAAACTAAACTGTTGTAAGAAGAAATTTTAAAGGCCTCATACAATTTTGGACTTTAAGACAAAATTATACAATGTACAAAATATGTTTTACATTAAGAATATTTTTATAGTGTGTTAAGTTCGAAAATTTGAATTTCTTATTAATAAAATTTTATTTTATTTAACAGAGAACACATAATCGGCGGAATACATACTCACGCTTCTAAGTTGAAACAATGAGTACCTTTTTTTATTACTGTATATAAAACTTTTGCAGTTACTTTCTAAAGCACTGCGGTTAATTGTATGTATAATAAAAAAATACTAGTCCCCGATAAAGAAAGGCGCAATATATGCAACGTCTTTGGCACAGAAATGAAGGAAGATTTGATCTCATAGCACCATTGGACGTGGAGTTTGTGCACTACGTCCGGAACTCGGTTGGAAATTTAAAAATAGAAACTTAGAACAAAAGAAAGCATATTCTGTGTGTATTACTGCGTTCCATTTTTGAAAAATACTGGTGAATCTACAGGGGCATGGGACTTGCTAACTTATATCTCAGGGTAACGCGGTTCCCGTCACTTGATATTACAAAAAAAACCGTTATATTCATCCAAGTCGGATCCGGAAGTGGGACACAGACGACCGTTAGAAAAAAAAAAACTATTAACAAGATGCCAAGGAGTTTACGTTATTCTAAAAGGCCTTTCAGAAATAATCTAGACGGTATATGTTAAAGATATTGAAAAATATATTATTTAATATGTTGCATATTGTAAAGTATAAAGTTTTATTGTCAGTGGGACGGAGTATTCGTAGTATAGTGTTACCAAAAGAGCTATTTGTCACTAGATAAAGGCTTGCAAAATTTGAAAAGACCACAATTCTATTATTTTACATACAGCGCCACCTAGGGTCTAACAGCAACAGCCTTTAATATTTAACAATGGAAGAAGTACCATATTACGCTCACTAGAGGGCGCATTTTGCGAAATAGCTGAATTGTATCCAATCAGATGTCGCTGCTATGACGTTATGAATTAATGTAATAAGTCTTTATTGCACACTAACAATACAGGACATTTATGAAGTATATTAGATTAAGTTAATGTACAACAGGTAGGCCTTATTGCTAAGCAGCAATCTCTTTTAGGCTACGTTATGGTTAGTCATCCTCAACCTTCTAGTGACGTTTACATTGAGAGTTATTGAATGCCATTGCAGCAATTTGCTTATTTTAAAACATACTCCTTTCTGATTTCTCCACACACTAATACATTTCTAGCACAACAGTAGTGTGGAGACGCCACGTTCTGTATTTTTCTTATTTTCATTTATGTACAGTCAATGCCCCAAGATACCTCACCCCTTAACCGTCTATATAGTCTGAGTAGATAGGTGTGAAGAAAGATGTTAAACAAACTTAATCTTTAATGAGTGAGATGACTTCCCTATTGATATTATAAAATACTTTTTAGGCCAATTTGATTTTTAATTCCATTAGATAAATACAAATTTCGACCACAATGCTGGAATTTCTTTACACTTTTCTGTTAAACGCCTAAGAAGGCTCTCAGAACCAAAAGGCTAGTGGGCCTGGTATGTTGTAAATTGACATCGACTGTACTTCCTTATTAAATTGGTAGTAATTTATCTGGTAACTATAATGTTTTTAGACCCGTTTTAATTCGATTGCCACATTGTTTAAATTACTTAATATTTCTATTACAATTTTATATATTTAATAATGTTGCACACAAGGAAATGGTCTAGGCAATATGGTAATTAAATGTTTTTTTAATTAGGTTTTTTTGGAAAAAAAATTTGAACAAAACCTGCCTAACACCAGTACTCTTCTATTTATAAACAATTAAGTAGCAATGTTAAAAATATATATCAATTACCTTTACAATTTTAACATAAATAACTCCTTATACTTCCCAACCGTATTACAAAACAAAAACAATGATTTTATCATATTTTTTTATATTAAAAACTCCTCAAAATTAACTCTAACGTAACATAGACAAGAAAATATCTAACAAAAAAATTATAAAAGGTACTTTTTTAGGAATAAAACTTTTCAGAAGTCAACAAAATTTAACCCATAGCATGTTAGCCTACCGCTTAGCGTTAAATTAAAAAAGAATATCTTTATTTACACTTTCTTTTTTTCAATAGCTAAAAAAGAACTTAACTGTTTTTTTAACAAACAATAAAAATAACAAGAGATAATTATTAAGTATTTTGTGCAAAAATTAAACAGATAAAAATCCATTTTAAAAAATAAATAATGAAAAAAGAATATGAATAAGTAGCCATTTTTTCGATTGAATATGGTAATTTCACAATCAGAAAAATTACAACAAGAAAAAAATAATCTATAACCATTCGATTGATTACTGATCCAAAATTATATACAACCAATGTACATCGAAGTTACAATAAAACTATATTTTACAATAAAAACTAAAATAAAATTAAAAATCTTAACACGAAAAACTGTATGATAATGCCAAAAATGTTATTTAGATAAACGTGTTCATGATCAGTCATTTAGTCAAATACATTTTGTGCCATAAAAATGACATCCCTGTCAAAAAATATATGTTGTACATTCGCTCTTCGAAAAATATCAAGTTTTTGAGATAAAATGGAAAAAATTTATGTTTTCCTAAAATTTTACAAACATTTTGTAGAATTCAAATATTTTTCCAAAATTACACAAACATTTTGTAGAATTTAAATGTTTTACCAAAATATTATGCTTGTAAAAAATTTTAACTTTGTAAAATTGTTTTTCGTATATAAATTTTTTCCGCCATGATACTTTTAATTTTTTTTACAAACTGCAAACAAACTTTGTAATATTTTTCTCATTCACTCATGAATGGACAGGTGACACTAGCGTATCTATATTAATATTTGAACATGTAACAAGTTACTTTACAAATGGATGTAGAATTTCAATGGTAATAAGAAAAAACTTCATAATAATGATAAGATGATCGTTCAAGTCATATGAATTATCTATACCAGCCTTTTCGTTTACGTTTTAGACCTTATTAATTTTGTGGTGTTTTGTTTTGGGACAACCGACATTTTGCACATGTAGAGTCGCTTTGTTGATTTATTAACTTTCTCGCTCTCGTTACTAACGTTTGGCATTAATATCTCCAACAGTAGCTAGTGTTAATCATGTTCTATCAGTGTATAGACAGTGCTGGGCAGTATTTGCATTATTTGGAATACAAATTCGAATTTAGATTTTTTTAATTTCAATTGCTACCTACAAAATATTTTTTTCTGTATTACGCGATTACTAGGAGATTTGTGAACCGATTTTGGTGATGAAAGAAGACAATGCAACTAGTAATGATTGGAATGTCGTAATATTCACAATTCTGACATTTTTCCTCTTTTCACAATTTGTCGATAAAACTGTCGACAACAACTACATGACTATTTAAAATTTTATAAAAACTGGTAATCCCGCAAATGTTATTTTACTGCGCCATCAAAAATGGAGCGCACGTGTCACGACTGCGGCGCTGCAACTGCGCTCTATAAGCGTCTATTTTATTATTTACTTATTAATTATTTTATAATAAAAAGTTTCCATTTAATGTTTGAAAGTTGTGTTTCTTTAAGTTTTTTATAGTGCAATTATTTGAATAAGATTAAGTATGCAAAGTAGGATTTATTTTTTATATATTTAATTTATAACAGTCAGTAGTACGAGTAAAAAAACTTAATAATGACCTAAAAATAGGAAGCATGTTTCAGATTTTTGTTTCACAGTGTTTATTAAATTGCTTTGCCTACAAAACGATTGGATGACATAGTACCCGATAAAAGACACAAAATTTCTTTCTGTCTGATGCTAAAAAAATTAAATACAAATACGTACATCCTTCTCATTTGGCAGATTTGATATTTAGTAACGAGAGCGGTGACTTGTCAAATTGCATTTCCGTGATTTTTATATACAAATTTTGACGTGTCAATTTTTGACAGTTGTGTAGCACGTTACTATATATGCAGAAAGCGATTTTTGTAGTAAACACCACATTTTCGAGACAAATGGCAGTGTTCGTGAGAGCGGCAAGCCCAAGCTACTGCTTTTGAGATCACTTCCTAGCCGGGACTTGCTGGTTCTAGGGTTATCAACGATGTGCAGAAATAGAAGTAACTTTTGTTACAATTTTTGTCAACCCTATCGTTGCATGTTTGTTTTAAAAATATTTAAATTGGTTGAAATTAGAATTGGATTCACTATTTATCGGATTTTTACCACGGTATGACTTCTTTTTTTGTCATAAAAAGTTTCAAAATCTATGTATTTATATTAATTGACGAATTGCAACGTGTTTAGACTTGTTAAGTAGATGTGACAAAAAAACTATGTAATAAAAATTCACCTATATTTCTACACGTCGAGCGCTTATAAACTAAACTATCTGTGTAAATTTTTTTATAATATAAAAGTAAAATGTAAAATCACAAAGTAATTTCGCTATCTACTCTTACGTATGAGGCGACACTTAGTAGTTTTAATGCACATATCACACGGCCCGTGGCGCCATCTGTAACAAAATAGGACATACTTTAAAAAAAATAAGTAGGTATAATCTAAACGTCCGGTCTCGAATTGACGAGACATCCAGATCTGGATCAAAATTTCAGAAAAAAAATTCTACCGGGAATGGAACCCGGAATAATGATAACCCCAGAATACAGTGTCATAAAAAGAATTCAGTACAAATGATAACTTGTAGTAGAGAAATCATCATCAACCAGTAATCCAACCCACGGGTCTCCTCTCAGGCGAGGGTCTAGGTCATAAACCGCCACACTGGCTGCGGGTTGGGAATATCACATATATGCCAGGGGTTGTGAACCTTCCTCGACGTGATAAATTCCGAGATACTCAGAGATGCGAACCGGGATTCGAATCCACGGCTCTGCTTGAAACGCGATAAGTCAAACCAAGGCTACCACGGCTTTTGTAAACATATTATTTAATAAATAAAATGTATCGCACTGTTATTACAATAGTGTTGTAACTTAAAATATGTGAAATTTAATATTATATCGTTATTGAACGTAAAATTTGATTCTCTACACTTCAAAAAATCCGTCGTTAGAATATTGTAAGAAACAATCGAAAAATATCTACTTAACTCAAAATGAGATATTAAAAAATATGAAATTATTTTCTCCATTTTATTTTTAAATATATTCGGGGAATGGTTTGTGTCTATAATAAACTAAAACATATAAATAAATTTTAATGATTTTTTGTGGAAAGTGAGTAATTCGTTTTTCATCGATTTTGAGAAAGTCTACATTTTGAGTTAATACACTATAGTATTAACAGTGCGATGTATAAAATTTCAATATTACTGCAAAGATCTGAGGGGCACTGCCACTGCGCACATCACCCTGAGACATAAGTTGACGAATCCTATGAGCCTGTGATTTCATCAGCTATAATGACGTGGTTTCGTTTAGCGTTATTTCGATCTTATGAAGTTTGAAATAAATATTGTAAATGTATACAAACATTTATTTACAAAGAATAACCCGAAATTCTCGCTCGTTCTTCACAGAGGAATTTCCCTTAAGCATGAATGAGCTGTAGAGTACAATACGATAATTTCAAGTGTAATTTGCCTATATATGAAATGTTCTATTACTCGTCAGCTATCTATACTTCTAATAGATTTTAATATTAAGTATTTTTTTAAAAAAAGGTAAAATAGATTTTATTTTATTTTTATTTTTTAACATTAGAATCGTATAAGCAGTCAATGTATAGATAACAACACCGTAACATGATCTATACCTATTTGTACGATATTAATATAAGTGCTATCCATAATGCAATTTAATATTTTAATAACTACAAAAAATGTATAATAACATTTAAAATATTGTCCCTTTTTTACGTAACTGCCGCGACGACGTTTTTGTCGAAATTGAGTAAGATATGCGACTTCATTCAGCTGTTAAAAGCAACATACTCCATTAATCGTCGTATTTTTTTTATATACGATTATAACTCGGCGATTAGAGCTCTAAATGTGAACCAAAAATACGTTACTGTGAAGAATACGCCAGGCAGTCACCAGAGGAACTTTCAGAGACGGTTATAAAGCAAAATATTTTGAAACACCACCGAAAATCGTAAAATATTACCACATAATTCGCTGTCGCTGACCGACGAAGCAAAAAAGGACAATTTCAACCCTATTTCATAACAATTTATTTATTACCCAAAGTATATCACGAACTAAAAAACTTCATGGTTCACCAACAATCTGTGCCGCCACACTTTAAGAGACGTTACATAACTGCGGAAGCTTGGTGACCGACTTTCACGTCTTATGCAACCCAACGCTGTATAGTGATTGTATAACAGCCCCAAAGACCCAATGTCCTACTAAGTTACATAATTATGATTTTTGACAGCTGAAGTTGAATGTTAGTATGAAAGTGGGACGTGAGAAATGTCATATTTAAATTTAGACGGAAACTTTTTGTGATGATCCTAACTAGAATAGGCAACTATCCGAAGAAAATTGATAAAATCTAAAGATGATTTGATTGGGTTTGCAGCACGTTGATTCATTTCAATGTAACAGGCTGTTGTCATCCCTAATAGAATAAAGAAGAAAAGCAGTAGGCAGTTTGTTTACATTGTTATTGTTATATTAAGATAGATCGTCTTGGCAAAGCAACAAAATCCAGGTGCTTTGACTGTCACCGTCATCCCTTTTTGGATGATGCAATTTTTTGTGTATATAGCTTAATCCTCTGTCTCACCTTACTTTGAATTTCGTCTTAATGTTAACTATGAAGGCGGCAAAATATACAAAATGGCGCTATTTAATATTAAAACATTAAGGATATTTGGGCAAATATGCAGGTTCTTTAAACATCCCTTAAATTTTAGTAAAATTATAGAACTGTAATAACTATAATATGTGCATATCCTCGGGGATACTACAAATCCGCGAATGTAGTATTGGTAAAAAGCACGTATCTACACTAAACCAAATTTCACTGGAGAGATATTTAGCGTTATTACTTTGTTATTTCAATGGCTACAACTTTCATTTTTGAATAATAAGCATTAATGTATGTTGTCTACGGACTTATCTAGTTACGCGCAATTGCACTGTCCACGACGACATATGAATAATTGTTAAAAACAAATACATAAATATGCACGCGTTCAAAAACCTTATTAATAATCTAATCCATAAATGATTTTATGAATGGTTTTCCTGTTAGATAATTAATGTACCAATTATGGCTGTGTAAGAGTGGTATAAACCCAATGCCCTACAGCGTTACGTCACCAATTCGGCAAAAGTTGCATGAAAGTGGGTTACAGCATAAACATATTTAATATATTAACACATTTTTCCACTTGTCAAACGCTGATGCTTGTAACTACGAAAATGCAATCTCACATCTGTATAAACATTTTATTCTAGCGTTTGCCCATTTAAAAAACAAATCAAGTAAATTACTTGTATCCATTGGACGATGAGTATGAAGGACGATTGTAGTATTAAGTAATTTGAAAATCACTACCCAAGGGTTATTTTAAGTCGGCTATATAGTGGTTTTGAAGGGTAAAGATTCTGATGAAATTGCAATTCTCAATCTCAGGGTGACGGGTACAGTGGCAGTACCCCTCAGCTCTTTGCGATTTAAAGTTCTGAGCAGCAATGCAACTGTTGTGGACAGGCGTGTCGCTTACCACCAGGCGCACGAGTTGTTCGTCCCATAACTTAATATCATAAAAAATACATTTATTTAAAACTTTAACGTAAGTTTGTCGTACGTCTGTAGTACATAGTAGACGTAAGTTTGATAATTAACCCTTTAAATACCTATAAACATACATTACCTTGGTGAAATTTAAATGTACTTACATAGTAAAATTAATTGTTAACGTTATTTTCATGTACTACTATGTTAATAGACATAGACATCCTATTATGTAGTTATATAATAAACCCTTTAAGATTACAAATTTCTTTTTCCATTGTAAAATTTAAATGTACTTCCATAGTAAAAAATATTTTTATACATAATTTTCACGTACGAATGTTAAACGTTAAACTTAGTTTTTAACCGACTTAAAAAAAAGGAGGAGGTTCTCAATTCGACTGTAGTTTTTTGTATGTTACGCGATTTGTGAACCGATTTTGATGATTCTTATCTTTTTTGGTAGAAAGAGGGTACCTTACTATTGGTCCCATTTAAATTTGAAGAAAATATTCCACCTCTTAAGGGTGGCAAACTAGGAGATGAACCCGTTTTCGCGCACTTTCCGTAACCGATTCCAGTAAAACTTGGCAAATAGATGTAATTCCAAGAACTTTTGAGGTCGGTTTTTTTTATAAAAAAAGTTGTACATAATAAGACGACAAAAAGTTGTTTAAACCCAATCCCAAGATCCGTAACAAGCACGGTAGCTTAGTTGATAATAACTGTGGCACCTGTGTGGTAACAGACACTAGTTCGAGTCCAGCCAGATCGAAGCAATTTTTTTCAATTGTTTCCGTTGCCGAATGGGTACCATGCTGGACTACCACGCAGAGGTCTCAGGTTCGATTCCCGAATCGGGAGAAATATTTATATGGCCTCCATTTATTTCTCCGTAGCACCCGCGATTATAGTTATATTTGTATTAATAACAATAACAAACTAGAAGACTATTTTCGCAAAAAATAATAGCAGTAATAACTTCATTATATTGAATAATTTAAATAAAACCCTTCAAAGTCTTTAAAACTCCGAGCAATTCCCTTTACAATTTCCTGACTTTGAAAAAAGTTTTAAGCCAAAGAATTTCTTAGCAAAAATTAATGATTTCAAAAAGAACTACAATGATTTCAAAAAGAACTACAACGATTTCATTAATAAATTCAATGTTACTATAAATTCTTAATACACTGTTCTTAATAAAAATTTCGTGTATAAAAAAACAAGTCCCTTCATTATCACGCTATCAGTAAGTTTTCTCTGCGTGCATTTGGGTGCATTGCCCATGGCGTTTCGGCTGCCGACCTAGGGAGCATTGACCTTATACGGCATGTTTGGGATCCAGCTTCTCTCGAATCGGGACGGCAGAAATTTTGTTATACGAATGGATGAATGATACTTTATTGCACATAAAAAAAAACTACAATAACAACAAGGAACAGTATGTATCACAGAATATGCTAATTAATATAAAAGTAACAGTAGAGCTCCGCGTTCCCGTTTTGAATAATGGGACTTGTCAACTTATGTCTCAGGGTGACGGCCGCCGTGGCATTGCAAATGGACAGACGCACCACTTGTTCGTCCCGTCACTTGCTATCTAATCTTATTGCTATGTAGCAATTTCTTCCTGGCAACTTTAGAATAGAAATTGGAAAAGGGGTGCAACCAAATAATATCTTCTAATGGAAGACTTTCAAGTAAAAATGTATATGTATATAAAAAAACAATAATAATGATTTTTGCTTATACGATTCTATATATTCAAAGAAAATTATCCAATAGTTATAAAGAACCAATA